CTTCAACTCTTTCATTCCTAGACAACAACCCCCCATGGTAAGGCAGGTAAGGCGAATTAGCCCATATACCTCACCCTCAGCAAACCTATCGCCAACCAAATCATAATCCTCATAGCTCACAGCAATACCAAAATCCAAATCCAAATCCATACAATAGCTACCAACAACAAAATCCCTATAACCACCCTAGATATCCACATAACCAACAACCAAACTATCCTCCCCCAAGGCCACCTAAACCTCCTCAACCCATGGACGTCGACGAAAGCGTCCGGACAAAAGCGGTAAATTATGTCAACCGCCCTAAGCCCCAAGAAACTGGCAAACGACCACCGAATGCATCCATGATCAACCACCCCCCAGCGAAAGCTCAAAGGAACTTTCATATAAACACGGACGAAACGACCTACGATCCATACCATGAAGTCCAGGATTATAACCAATACGATAACAACCAACAAACAGCTTACGGCCAGGAAACAACTTACAATAATGTAGACGAAGAACCATATGACCTAACGGACGTACATTTTTTAGACTGAATAGCTCTTCGTTGCCCTATTTTCGATGCAAAACGAAGAGCGGCGAAATACTTAACATATTAGTAGACACAGAATCTAACAAAAATTATATCCAATCCAGTCTAGTTAAAAACGCAAAGGAAAACGATAACCCTTTTTTCGCCAATTCAGTTGGAGGGAAAATAAAGATTACGCAACACACATTTTTAAATCTTTTCAACTTGGAAAATTACAGACTCAAATTCTTCCTACTACCCACACTTAAGACTTTCCATGCTATATTAGGAACTAGGGAGCATAGATGCGAAAGTAAAACATTGAGTTCATTAAAAATCTTCATTGGGTCTGCATTATTGCTTTCGAACAACTTGTTTACTTTTTGCACCTGAAAATTAGGCAAATAGTAAAATCGGCTAAAAACGGCTAACTTTTTTTTACAAACCGGCTAACAAATCGGCTGCCGGCTAGATCGAATTTTCTCCGGCTAGTTGCTATCAAAACCGGCTAAATCTAGCCGGAAAACGGCTAAAATGGCAACGCTGTTTGTGACAAGTAAATCAGTATGACAAGTGTACCAAACGATGCTGGTACAATGCTCTAGCATTTAAGTTTTATGTTTTAGTGTTTATATGTTTATGTGAAAGTAAGTGTATATATTTGCTGCGTGATTAATTCAAGTATTGAGAATTTATTAACTTCATGTTCAATATATCTTTTTTGTTCCTAATTGTTTTTGTTTGTATCTTCTTTTGTTTGTTAATTTAAAATAAAGATTGGCCCCTGAGGATGCTAAGGAGTTTAGAGAAACGTAGGGCAAAACAGTGGAGGAAAACAACGTTATTTTACTTGCACTAACCACAACCTAGGCTAAAGAAGCTCATCTAAATCAGTAAAATATAGGACGAAAATTGGCCCGAAAATAAGATATTACATTAACAAAAAAGAAATATTGCTAACTCTTAGTTCAATATTTATTTATTTTTTATATGTATTCATTTATATACGCAAATTTTGTTGTCGCCCGTTTTAAGCGTATGTCGACTTAAAATAATAAAAAAAAAATATCCGGAGTCTCCGATCTAAATAAGTCCTAGATAATCCTTTTCAGAAAAACCTTTTTTGTGGACCAATGGTATCTGGGGGGGCTACTCTGTAATGCGATGCCAACGAGAAATGCGATGCGATAGGAAATAGCCACAGCGTATTTCTTACGACATATTTGCCTATCGCACCGTATTTCTCTTTCGCATCGCATTATAGAGTAGCCCCCCTGATCAAAAATACATATCGCTCATTTACTTCAGTAGTGTCTTCTTCTTCTTCTTATTTGGCGCTGTAACCGGCTAAGCGATTTTGGTCGAGTTGAGCAAAGCACGCCAGTCGTTTGTCTTCTGTGCCAACTAACGCCAATTGGAAACGCCAAGTGAAGCCAAGTCCTTCTCCACCTGATCTTTCCATCGCAGTCTCCCTCTTCCTCTGCTACCAACAGCGGGTTCTGTGTTGAATACTTTCAGAGCTGGAGCGTCGATGTTCATTCGAACGGCATGGCCAAGCCAGCGGAGCCGCTGTATTTTAATTCGTTGCACTATGTACATGTCGTTGTAAAGTTCATACAGCTCATTGTTCCATCGTCGGTGGTGCTCGCCGTCGCCAATGCGTAAAGGCCCGTATATCTTTCGCAAAGTCTTTCTCTCGAATACCCCAAGAGCCGCCACATCGGATGTTGTCATTGTCCATGCTTCTGCGCCATATACCAGCACGGGCAGGATTGAGAGAATTCTATCATTCTTGCAGCACGGGCATGTTGAGTGACTTATAAAGTGTGGTTTTCGTACGTCGAGAGAGGACTTTGCTCCTTAATTGCCTACTCAATCCAAAGTAGCACTTGTTGACTAGGGCGATTCTGCGTTGGATTTCCATACTGACATTATTATCGGCGTTAATGCTGGTTCCCAAGTAACGAAATTCTCTACTTTCTCGAAATTATAACTGTCCACAGTGATGTGGTGCCAAGGCGCGAATGTGCTGACTGTTTGTTTGATCACAGGAGATACTTCGGCTTGTCCTCGTTTACCACCAGACCCACACGCGCTGCTTCCTTATCCAACTTGGAAAAGGCAGAACAGACTACGTGGTTTTTGTTACCGATGATGCTGATGTCATCGGCATAAGCCAGCAATTGCATGCTCTTGCAGTAAATTGTTCCTGAGCGGTTCAGTTCTGCAGCTCTTTTTATCTTCTCCAACATCAGATTAAAGAAGTCACATGAAAGGGAGTCGCCCTGTGTGACACCCGGTTTGGTGGCGAACGGCTCGGTGAGGTATTTCCCAATTCTGATGGAGCTGGTGGTATTGCTGAACGCCATTTTACGCAGCCGTATGAGTTTTAAGGAGATGCCAAATTCGAACATAGCGGCGTATAGGCAACTCCTTTTGGTGCTGTCGAAGGCGGCTTTGAAGTCAACAAATAGGTGGTGAGTGTCGATCCTTTTCCAACGGGTCGTTTCCAATATTTGGCGTATTGTGAATACCTGGTCTATGGTGGATTTGCCAGGTCTAAAGAAACACTAAGCAGGCCCAACCAGTTGATTGGCGGTGGGCTTAAGTCCTTCACACAATATGCTTAGAAGGATAATACCGCGGTAGTTTGCGCGAATCTCGAGGTCACCTTTCTTGTAGATTGGGCAGAGCACACTTAAATTCCACTCGTCAAGCATTCTTCCATTCGGTCAGCATTTAAATCCCGCTGAATTCCGACTACTTCTTCGGCGGCGGTACTTAATGAGCGGGAAATGTGGTTCCACTGCTCACATATGTCGGTTTGTTGAAGAGTACTCTCTGATAGCAGGTGTGAGATTCGAGTAGAAAGCACTGGCTGTCTTGTTGTGACTGCAGCTTTTCGACGTTAAGCTTTCATTGCATATTTGGGCACACATGGTTTTCTGCACAGAGGCGGGTGCGTATCTTGGCTGCAAGAAGATAGTGGTTCGAGTCGATGCTTGGGCCTCGGAGTGATCGTACGTCTAAAACACTGGAAGCGTGCCTTCCGTCTATCACAACATGATCGATTTGGTTTCTCGTTTTTCGATCCGGAGACAGCCACGTAGCTTGATGGATTTGTTTATGCTTGAACCAAGTACTGCATACTACTGTGTTTCGGGCCCCGGTGAAGTCGGCCAGCCTCAATCCGTTATCAGACGTTTCGTCGTGGAGGCTGAATTTTCCGACGCTGGTTCCAAATATTCCTTCCTTGCCTATCCTGGCATTGAAGTCACCAAGCACGATTTTGATATCATCGCGGGGGCAGCGCTCGTACGTGTGCTCCAAGCGCTCCTAGAAGAGATCTTTGGATGCCCCATCTTTCTCTTCCGTCGGGGCATAGGCAGAGATGAACGAGATGTTGAAGAGTCTCGCTTTGATTCGGATTCTGGCTAGACGCTCGTCCACCGGGGTGAACGACAGTATTCGGCGACGGAGTCTTTCTCCCACCACAAATCCAACCACGAATTTGCGCTCCTTTACATGGCAGCTGTAGTAGACGTCACAAGGCCCCAGACATTGCTTGCCTTGCCCCGCCCAACGCATTTCTTAGATGGCTGTGATGTCAGCTTTTGTCCTTACGAGGACATCAACCAGCCGGGCAGAGGCACCATCCCCATTAAGGGTCCGGACATTTCAGGTGCACGCCCTCAAATCGTAGTCCTTTAAACCTTTGCCGTAGTCGTCATAATAAGGTTGGGTCAGCGCAACGACTGTTGCCCATTTCACTTCAATAGTGTCATAATACCAACAATACAAAAATTGAGTTAAGTACGCAGAAATTAACGCCACCTCTTCTTATATGTTCTGCAAAAAGTTAATAGATGTATCGATTACCAGCAGCTCACTAGAACAAAGTATATTTACCATGGGAGTATATGTAAGTTCAAAACATTAAGCCGTTTTTCTCGAGTTTGGTTTTTTGAGTCATGATACTATTGAAGTAGAGTCGGAGGAGAAGTTCGGGCAAACACTAACATATGTGTAAGCGCCAATCTATTATTATATTATTACTATTGAAGTAAATGAGCGATATGTATGTAACGAAAATTATTATTCTAAGATATTCGTATTTAGGTTTTTCTCATACAAACTCCAAATTATGATATGTGTTCTTTTATTAATTAGCAGAAAAGTACACCAAATAGTTTTGACCGTTTTTACTATGCAAATAACCCTCTGTGCGTTGCCGAAAAGATTTACATGATCTGTTATTCATTATAAGTTATCTTGTGCAAATCTAACAGAGGGACAATGAACAAAAACGTGTTTGCAAAACTTGTTTTAAAATTTCTTGTATGAGGTAATTTATTTCAATAGAAAATTTACTTTTTTCATTTCTGGGGGCGGGCAATCGTACCCATGTTAAATAAAAGATCGGTTTCAAAAAACTAGTTTTTTTACTTCTAATATATTACCTTAATTAAGAAAAGTTAACTGAAACCGTTAATAAAGGATGTGTTTTTTACAGATACTAACTGATCCCCCTAGACTGATTATAAAGAAAGTGCAAAAAGACGACCCCGGTATGTATCAATGTTTTGTCTCTAATGAATGGGAACAAATACAGTCAACAGCCGAACTACAACTTGGAGGTGAGTAAATAGTTTTTCTAAGACGTTTGCATGGGGTTTCGTCAATAATTCCATAGACATAGGTTCCGCGGAAAAGTGACATAAGTGCAATGGAAAGTTATGTCGAAAAATTTCTTTTGATACATTTTTAGTTTAACTGCGCAGTCGATCCACTGTTCTACGAATTGTTCCTGTATATCTGCAGCTCCTTCACACTTTCTTCGCGAAGCCATTTGTAGACAACGTTTTTTTTTTCTTTTAAAATTCTTATTTCACTTTTTGCACCTCTCACTTCGTTTCATCAAATCTTCTTACTATAATAAAACTGTAGATTGTTTGTCTGTTTGTTTGTTTGAAGTCACTAATCTCCGGTACTACTGAACGGATTTTAATGATTTAGGATTTTAACTGGTATATAGAGAGTGACCTCGGACGTAACCTAGGGTATAAAAAATGAGATCTGACATTTTTAATCAGCAACAACTTCGAAACCGTAAGTCACATGGCATTAAAATTTGATGTATTGACGTACACAGCTATGGTGGATGCTTATTGCAAAGTAGATATTTTTTGTAAAAGGACCGCGGCTCATCCTATAGGTGTGAAATGTTTAACTAGCCTTAACTTCGGAATTATACGTCACATGAATTTTAAATTGTGCTCTGCAGCATATAGCATAATTTTGCAAAAAATGGTGCCGATAGATGGCGGCGCAGTTGACCTATTTAGAGAACCCGTCTTTATCGTATGACCTGGATTAACATTATGATAAGAATTGCTTCTGCAAAAAAATTAACCCAAAATATAGATGGCGCTGAAATCTTAATATTTAGATGCCCCTATACAAATTTACAAATTAAAAGCCACATTCTTTAAGTATGCATACGAAGTAGCGCAAAATTGTTTAAGCTCCACAGATATCCTAGGCACATCAACGGGTCATCGGTATATCCAGAAGGAGTGTGCTGAATTGGAGAGAACACGGTAAGAATATCAAGAACACTGTTTGAACGGGAAAACTCTTCCACCCTGTGGAACAGCAGAATTATAGCTGAAGATTACGCAGTCTTGGCAAACCTTGCAATAATTGCAGATTATCTCACAGGTGGAAATAAGAGCTCTTACCATCGAAAGAGATTAGTACTTATACCATATTTTATCTCAACGCTATTATTCTTGGCCTAAGAGTAAGCAAGGTTCTTCTCTTCAGTCCTTTCAACCTAAACTAATAATTTTAACATTACAACCGGTTTTTGCATAGCAATACTATTTTTGTATTGGTCAACGCAAAAGTTCTTATAAGGCGTCCCGAAGCAAGCCAGGCATTAGCTAGTGTAAAATATTTTTTAACCGAGCGCACTTGTGCCCCAGGGTATATTAACTCTGTTCGCATAACGGTTGTTTGTAAAAGCCCAAAGGAATATACCAAAAGGCTCAGAATGAAAATGGAATTCGAATAAAACATGCCTGTTTGTCCGTCCGTCCTTGCACGATAAGTCGAGTAAAATATGGGATCTCTGAACGAAATTTGGTAGGCAGGTTGCCTGGTCAGAACACACAAAAATGGCACATTCTCTGCCCTTTAAAGCTATGTTGGGGAGATGGTTGCCTTGAAAATCAGATAGTTGGAGGAAACGAAATCACTATAAAATAAGGGCCGATGCCCGGGAAAGGTCGGTTGTAGAAGTGCCTTCTCCATGCATACCGGCTCTGCGGACGAGCGACGAACCCCTTCCGGACTACTCGTGGGACCACAAATGAACAAAGAAACCAAACAAAAACAACAACAACAACCACAACAACAGCAAGAACAAAAACAAAAGCCTGGGGAAGATGTGACGCTATACGAGGAAACACAGCTCCTGAAATCCCCTGCAAAACCACCAAACCCGACAGCGATTTCCTCTGTTGGTGCCAGCCACAGCACCTCAGAGGAAAAAGCGTGAATCAGTAGCAAAACGGAAGGTGCCAGCCATAGTACCGCCGTTTTGCAATTAGAAAATTTTAGTAGCGGTAGTGCCAGCCATAGTACACCAGAAGAAAAACCAGCATGTAGCAAGCACACGGCCGATGCCAGCAGTACCCAGCTGCAAAAGCATAGGAAACCCTCAAACGCGTTCATGTATCAACGGTACCAGAAGGCTCTGTACATGCTCGATAAAATCAAGAGAAATTCAGCACCCGGACGTGTAGACGAGCGCGATGAGGAAGATAAGCTTAGATATATGGCCATGGTGGAAGAGTATGAGAAATTCCAAACAGAACGTACTGCCACCATGGGATCTAGCGAAACCCAAAAAAGGAATAGGTCTCAAAACGAGAGTGGCAACGGAGCTGACCGCAAAAGATTGAAGCAGGGGGATGTAGCGAAGTCCGCAACATCCACCAAGCATCGCTACTTCAGCGACGTTGGAAGAGACCATCTTCAGACTTCAATTATTGACGAAGGTAGCAGAACGCCACTAGAAGTGCAGCAGAAGTGGGTGGNTGTAGTGCCAGCCATAGTACACCAGAAGAAAAACCAGCATGTAGCAAGCACACGGCCGATACCAGCAGTACCCAGCTGCAAAAGCATAGGAAACCCTCAAACGCGTTCATGTATCAACGGTACCAGAAGGCTCTGTACATGCTCGATAAAATCAAGAGAAATTCAGCACCCGGACGTGTAGACGAGCGCGATGAGGAAGATAAGCTTAGATATATGGCCATGGTGGAAGAGTATGAGAAATTCCAAACAGAACGTACTGCCACCATGGGATCTAGCGAAACCCAAAAAAGGAATAGGTCTCAAAACGAGAGTGGCAACGGAGCTGACCGCAAAAGATTGAAGCAGGGGGATGTAGCGAAGTCCGCAACATCCACCAAGCATCGCTACTTCAGCGACGTTGGAAGAGACCATCTTCAGACTTCAATTATTGACGAAGGTAGCAGAACGCCACTAGAAGTGCAGCAGAAGTGGGTGGAGATCGATGTGAGGCTGTCGAGTCTCGTAATGGACTACGTCCTCGACAACCCCGAAGGTCCTCATCCAGAGTTTGACTCATCGGAATCCCTGAGGGGATACCGGGTCATAAAATGCGCGGACCAGTTCTCCTTGGACTTCCTCGTTGGGTGTGTAGCAAAGATTACCAGCCAAGGACATCCCTAGGAGGCCCCGTGCGCGCATTTGGTTACCTCCGATAGCCGAACCTGGCGAAAAGTTGCTGCGTTGTGTAAAGCTGCATAATAAAAACATACCAGCAATAGACGAGTGGGAGCTCATCAAAGTTGAAGAGCCGAGAAAGCCCACAAACAAGCCAATTCTCCTAGCGATTTGCTCCGAATCATTGGACGCCCTAGCAGAGGCCGACTATAAGATTCGGTTCGGCATTAGAAAAGCTAAGGTAAGAGTATTCCTTGGTGAATTCAGCCCAGTAGAAGAGAACCCGGGCGTCGACGGTGCAGGCGAACTCCTTATGGGAGTGAAACTGAGCGATGAACCGGACCAGTAAGATAGTCCAAATAAATCTGCAGCACTCGAAGTGTGCTACAGATAGTCTAGTCGTACTTCTCAGCGAAGAGGACATCGACATTAGCCTAATACAGGAGCCCTGGGTCAGGAACGACGAAGTAATGGGCCTTAATATCTACAATTACAATCTCTTCTACAAGAGCGAGGTTGGTAAACCACGGGCGTGTATTCTTATCAAGAAGGGTATAAATGCATTCCTTTGCTCTAATTTCAGCACAGCAGACACAACAGTAGCTAAGGTGGAGACGGCAGGACAACAGGATGTCTTGTTAGTGTCGTCTTATATGTCCCATGACAGTCCACCACCGGAAATCAAAACTATAGTAGACCGGAACCCCAGACGAGCCATTGTCATAGGATGTGATGCAAACGCCAGGCATCCAGTTTGGGGCAGCACAACAGAAAACGAGCGAGGTGAGTCACTTCTACACTATTTATTAAACACTAGTTTGAGTATTTGCAATACTGGTAACCGACCAACCTTTATCTTCCCAAGTTCAGACCGGTTTCCTGGGTGGGAGGAGGTGTTGGACCTAACGTTGCTGTCTGAGAACGATGGCGTTACCGTTGAGAACTGGAGAGTTTCCGACAGGCCATCAGTGTCTGATCATTGCTGGATACTCTTTAATCTACGCGGAGTATCCTACACCCCCTCTAAATACAGGAACCCACGTAGAACCAATTGGGAGAAATACAATCGAGTTTTTACGCGAAAATTAACTAAAGTTAATCTGGTCGAAAATATTACCTCAATAGATGAGATAGAACGAAACGTAAGCAACTTAGAGGGGGTGTTGACTAAAGCCTATGAAAGATGAACCCCACTGAGTGTCATGAAAAAGAAATCCCCGCCATGGTGGAATGGGGAGCTTAGAGCTCTTAGAAATAGCGTTAGAAAACTTTTTAACGAGTGCTTTAGGTCCAAGAATTGTGTGCGCTACAAAAGTGCGTTAAAATCAAATAAAAAGGAACTAAGGATACCAAAGGCCAAGTGCTGGCAAACCTACTGTTCCTCGATAGAAAATGTAACAGACTCAGCTAGGCTAAGTAAGATCCTCTCAAAGGAGTTCACTAAAACCTCATTTATAAAAAATATAAATGATGTATGGACAAACTCCATGGATGAGTCTTTAGAAACACTAGTTCAATTCCATTTTGCAGGCTGTGAACAGAATGCAGCAGCATCAGATGGAAAAGAACCCACATATATACCAAATAGAGAACTTGAAGGTGACAGGTAATAAGATCAACGGAAATCCTTTTTAAAAACGAAATAAAATAAATTTACATTATTTCTCTTTCAAACATTATATTTGCTTAGCTTCGCGGCGATCCGCGTTANGAAACGAAATAAAATAAATTGACATTATTTCTCTTTCAAACATTATATTTGCTTAGCTTCGCGGC